AATTCTTTCTTGAATTCTCTCTGGCTCTGGGCACTAGGATTCTAGAAGTACAACATGCATGCGTGCATGCAAAGTCACTTCTGTCATGTCCAACTTTGTGACCCTATGGACTGTAGCCTGCCAGGCTCCTCTGTCCATGGGATTCTCCAGGCAAGAATACTGAGGTGGGTTGCCATGCCCTCCTCCAGGGGATCTTCCCAACCCAGGGATCGAACCCATATCTCCTGTGGCTCCTGCATTGCAGACGGATTATTTACTGCTGCACCACCAGGGAAGCCTGGAAGTACAACTCTCATTCCCAATTCCATTCCCTCTCTCATTGTCTAATGCCTGTTATTAAGTCAATCTAAAATAATTTATTATGAAACAAATATAGATTCACAGGAAGTTGTGAAGGTAGCATACAGAGACTCTCCACATACCCTCACCCAGTTTCCCAGACTGGTTACAACTAATGCAACTGTAGTGCAGTATCAAAGCCAGAAATTAACATTGTTACAACATGGGGATAGTTCTCTATCATTTTATCACATATGTAGATTTGGGTAACCACTGCTGCAATCAAGTGAACTGTTCCATCACAACAATGATCTCCCTCATGCTACCCCCTTATAGTCTCATCAACTCCCTCCCCTCAACCATTCTTAAACCTTGGCAACCACTAATCTGGTCTTTATAATTTTGTCACACAAAGAATGTTATACAAATTAGATCATGTAGTATGTAACCTCTTGAGGTTGCTTTTTTTCACTCAGCATAATACTCTTGCTAGCCATCCAAGGTGTTGCATGTGCCAATAGTTCATTTCTCTTTATTGCAGACTACTATTTCCTCTAGGACATTTCAGCCCAACCTTATTTCTCCTCTCCTAACATTCTGATGACACAAATGTTAGGTCTTCTGTTATAGTTCTACATGTCCCTGAAGTTCTATTGTTTATTTTAGTCTATTTTTTTTTCCTGTTCTGTTTGAGTAATTTATACTGCTCTGTTTTCCAGTTCATTGATTCTTTCTGCCTCCTACTGAATATCAAGCTCTATTTTCAGCATCAGGGATAAGTTGCAACCCTTGCTTTCCAGGAGTTGACCATAGTAAGAAGGAAGATCTTACCTTGTTACATAACTGTCAAAGGGCTTATGTGGTTACTCAGACGTGATGTGCACAGCATGCAAAGGGAGGGAGCAAGAAAAGCACCACTTCCCAAGGGAAGAAAGGTGCATCTTAGGGTACGGACAAGCTTCCTTGGAGTAACTTATAAAGAGTGAATAAGAACTGGCTACTGAAGGAAGGGGCTTGCAGGCTTTTTTCGATCATAGACAAAAGAAGAGGAATTTCAGAGAGAAGGTATAGTTCACCCAAAGACAAGGAGATGAAGGGATTGTGGCAGAACAAATATTCTAAAACTATGATCAAACTATCCAAGTGGCGCTAATGGTAAAGAACTCACCTGTCAACACAGGAGACTTAAGAGACAGGGGTTTGATCCCTGGTTGGGGAAGATTCCCCTGGAGAAGGAAATGGCAATGAATTATTGTATTCTTGCCTGGAGAACCCTGTTGACTGAGGAGCCTGGCAGGCTACAGTCCTTGGGGTCACAAAGAGTCAGACATGACTGAAGTGACTTAGCACAGCACAACACATGACAACTATACCTTGACAGGTGCTTTCTACATTTAAGCATACAGAAGATTCACCTGGAATATTTGTTACAATGAGGACTACTGGTGTTCCACCTCATCTGAGGATTGTGATTCAGAAGATCTGGTTAAGGGCACTAGAATTTTGAACATGTTCTGAAGTGATATTAATACTGATGATCTGGATACCATAATTTAGTCAGTTTGGGTACCAAGACCTAGACCACAATGAAATACCATTCAGCCTGAGTTCCAACCACACCTCCAGGGGATACACTGAGAGACCTAATGTGCACTCCAAGTAATAAAATGCAATCTATGTAAAACACAATACAGAGATTATGGCGAAAGCTTAAAGGTCACTTTACAAAACAGGGGAAGAGGAACTTGTTGAACAAATGAATGTATTAATGGAGATTAGAGAAGAAACTATTAATTTACCTATTAAGGGAATGGATTGATTTTTGGTGTGGTCGCATTAGAAAAGCATGTATGTGCACAAATTATAAGTCATTTTTATTTATTTAATAAAGGAGACTTTCCACCAGATGATACATGATTAGCTTGTTCCTATTTCTAGGTGAACATCAGTGAACTAAAACCATCTTCCCCCAGGTAAACAGCAATCATAAAGCTTGACCACCACACTAATACCCTCTCAAAACGGGAAGAGAGCACTCAGTCGAAGTCCTTGATCTATACTGTCTCTTCCTGGTTACTTATTGTTAAGGATATTTTCAAAGAGATATACACACCATCTTTGTAGTTTGGTGTATTGTTTAAGAATTCATGGTTTCCCGATGTTTCTCTGCAGTCTGAAGAATTTTCTCTCAGCTGATACTGTCAGGTGAATGTTGTGAAAAAACGTTTAGGACACAGTAAATGATGTACCAGTGGGAAAACACAGCCTGAACTTATGAGCGCAAAGGGCTGTTAATGAGATAAACTGTTAAAGAATCTTTATGAAACATATGCAAACCAGGCATTTTGAAGCCCCAAATTATGTGTATCTTCTGAAGATGTTTCTATTTCCAAAGACAGAATTTAGCACTTAGACGTATTAAACATGATATACCACTTAAACCATCCTTCCTTCGTACTACTAAATATGATGGGTACTGAGAGACATAATTTCCATTTAAAAACCAAGCTCATAAAGAAACTGAAAGGTATTTCATAGAACCCACATGATACCGACAGGGCTAATGCTATATATACAAAGGACATGACTGAGTGGCATTTGATAGATGAATGTCAAGTAATTGAGTGAAACAAGACCCAACATACAATGTCTTGCCTTGTAACTGTCCACATGTGCACGGCCTGATCATCCTATACATTAATAGGTAATTTATAGATTAAAACATAAACATCTAATTTGTAATCATTGATCATTAAGAGAAAAAACAGATTAGAAGAATACAAAAGTTCAAGAATTACTTCAAAATGTAGGGTTGCTTTTTGTTTTCCATGAACCATGAAAAAATGTTTACTCTGTTAAACAGCTTTACCTCTCCACTGTTTCACAGAGCTATAAGCTTTCTTCAGAAGGGACTATATTTTAATGCCATCTAATTTTGGTGATACACTTCAAATCATTAACTAGACACACTCCTAATTATAACATAGTCTTATATGTTATATAACATATAATGTCCTATAACATTATAACAATTATAACATATTCTATAAGAACTCCTAAAAACAACATATATAATTATGTGTTGTTTAAAGCACTCAAAAATAATGATTATGCTAAGACTCTCAGACTCAAAGTAATGGTTGCATTATGAAATACAATGGAAATTATCATGACTCTGAATGGAAATCTCAGCATGATAGAGCCTGTGCTTGATTTTCTTCTTCAACCACTCCCATGAGACTTGATAACAGCTAAAGAGGCTATAGTGTGTGAAATTTGCCTGTTCTTCACTAAGTCTGAGAAAGATTTGCCTGAGACATAAATAAAAAGACAAAGAAAGGCATACACTTGCATCAGACTACTTCTGGCCTATTCTAGAGAACACTGTACTTGAGTTTTTACTTTTCATATTGATTACTTGGGTGTCACAAAGAGGGTCTTGGTCTTTTGTCTTATTTCCTCCATACTAAACAATCTCCTTCAATAGGTGTATTTTCTTTGAATAAAATGAATATTTTCAAAAATGTTTAAGTTGAGATTTTCTTCTCATTCTCATGTGGAACAAAGCAGTTTGCTGTAGAAGTCTGTATCATTTCCATTGAAAAAAGTTTCTTAGGACTTCCCTGGTGATCTAGTAGTTAAGACTCCATGCTCTCAGTGCAGGGGGCCCAGGTTTGATCCCTGGTGAGTGAACTAGATCCCACATGTCATAGGTAAGACCTGGAGCACCCAAATGAAAAAGAATCTGGGCTTCTTGTTTGTAAAGGATCATATACTTGGGAGAACCCTACATCGCCAACAGTTGAAATTGACTTAGAATTAGTTGAAATGTGATTTTCTTTAAAAAAAAAAAAACTTGCTTCTAATAAAACTCAAGTGAATTAAGAGGATCTATGTTTTTAATGAGATCATTAAAAAGCAACATGCATGATGTAGAGCAACTAGAACCATCATATATTGCTGGTGGAAATGCAAATTGATAAAATCACTTTGGAAAACAGTTTTGTTGTGTCTACTAAAGCTACATATACACATGTCATAAAATATGGCAGTTCTGGGATTTCCCTGGCAGTCCAGTGGTTAATACTCCATGCTTCCAATGCTGGGGCCACAATGTTCAATCCCTGTTCAGGGAAGTAAGATCCCACATGCCATGTGGTGTGGTCAAATTAAAAAAAAAAAAAAAACCAACAGTTCTATTCCAATAAAAATGTGTGGTTTTATCTACAAATATATATTATATATATAAAATAATGTTCAAAGAGCAGTAGTCATAATAGTAAAGAAAAAAAACTGGAAACCCAAGTCAAATGTCTATCAGCACTAGATTGGATAAATAATTTGGACTATGTTCACACAATGGAATATAACACAACAATGAAAAATGAACTATTCCTACATGCAACAAGACACTGTGGAATAAAAGGATGTACACACAAAAGAGTAAATATGGTATGACCCCATTTATGCCAGTTCAAAAACAGGTAAGACTATGCTGTAAGAGGTTAGGAAAGCAGTTGCTCTGGGGCAAGGGTTTTGACTGAAAGGGGACATGAGGGAGTCTAGCGATATTTTTCAGATGTTCCACATTTTGATGTAGGTAAAAATTCATCAAGTTGTATGTACTTAAGATCTGTGTACTTTACTATTTGCAAATGATACCTAGTTAAAAAATTTAAAAGCAGCATACTTAAACCATGGCAAGACATGTCTATAACCAATTAATATATAACATAGTATATGCAGTTTTTATAAGGGGCCCCAATCAAAGAAATCTTTCCTTTAAATGAAGTAAAGGACATTAAGTGACACACTTTCATGTAAAATGGGGAAACAGTGGAAACAGTGACAGACTTTATTTTGGGGGGCTCCAAAATCACTGCAGATGGTGACTGCAGCCATGAAAATAAAAGACGCTTGCTCCTTGGAAGAAAATCTATGACCAACCTAGACAGCACATTAAAAAGCAGAGACATTACTTTGCCAACAAATGTCCATCTAGTCAAGGCTATGGTTTTTTCAGTAGTCATGTATGGACCTGAGAGTTGGACTATAAAGAAACTTGAGCACTGAAGAATTGATGTTTTTGAACTGTGGTTTTGGAGAAGACTCTTGAGAGTCCCTTGGACTGCAAGGAGATCCAGTCACTCCATCCTAAAGGAAATCAGTCCTGAATATTCATTGGAACGACTGATCTTGAAGCTGAAACTCCAATACTTTGGCCACCTGATGTGAAGAACTGACTCATTTGAAAAGATCCTGATGCTGGGAAAGATTGAAGGCAGGAGGGAAAGGGGATGACAGAGGATGAGATGGTTGGATGGCATCACCAACTCAGTGGACATGAGTTTGAGTAAACTTCAGGAGTTGGTGATGGACAGGGAGGCCTGGAGTGCCTAAGTCCATGGAGTCGCAAAGAGTCAGACATGACTAAGACTGAACTGAACTGAACTGAAGTGACACACTAGACAATGTATTTGATTATGATTTTGCAAAAGACATAAATATTATATACTTAAACGTCCATATGTTGCATCATATTGCCACTTAATTTTGAAGTAAAATTTTTCATTCATTGTTCATTCTTCCATACAACATCATTTCCAAAGAATTTATTTTTCCAGAGCAATGCATTTTTTCTTTTTTGTTTAGCTATAAGAAAGCAAATAATTACAAGTATTATTTAAATCTTTTAAGCATTTACTGCAAGGTGTCTCTTAATAAGTTTTAATCCCTTTTTTGTATGTTCCATTCTATTACTCTATAGAGCTTTTAGCTTGAGAAATAAATAAAGAAGCTACACAATTTCAAACATGCCTACACATCTCTTTCCCTCTTTCTCATGCATATATGCATAAATATATACAGAGAAATGGTAAAGAAATGAAAAAAAAATTCACCATAAAAAGTGGTTTATATGTACTTTTGTCACATGGGCTTGTCTTTAGACTTCCAATGTAAATTTGCCTTAAAGATCTAAGTAAGTGACTTCACATTTTTAGGTAAGCTGCATGGGCCAAATTTCCTGCTTAATAATTTTGTTGTTTATCTCAGTGTGGCAGATGCCTGTCCTTGATTTCCAGCAGCTTTGTAAGGTTCTATGAAATGTAAAAGCTGGATAATAACAGAATTATTGAGAGTCAAACTACCCATCATATGCTAGCTTGACTCCCAGCAAAATTAATATTTATCAAATTCCTACAAGGAGACATGAAATTGTATTAGAACATATATCACATACTAAACTCTAATTTTGGCTATTTTTGGTATATAATTCAGGTTGACATGTCAATGAAATATTTAAACAGGTAATTATAGTCATGGATTTTTGGAGAAACTTCCAGTTGTGAAGGAATATAAGATTTCTAGTCCAGGTCTGAGAGAGAGAGAGAGAGAGAAAGAAAGAATAAAAAAAAATCCATGTGCAAGTTTTATGCTATTAATAAACAGTCATTTATTGAACATCTAATATGTACAGGGTATTCAATGAGATGGGCCACAAATCATCTGGTCTATGGAGCAAAAAATTAATTGGACAAGGGAGAGAATTATTCATTTGAGTCATAGGGGCAGGGGTGAGTTTGGTGTTAATCTCATTGTGAGTCAAATTTCTAAATTTCCAACTTCTAATCTTTTTATTCCTTTCACACCCAGCAGTGCCAGATTAAAACAGATAATTATAATTAGATTCTACTATCATTCTAATGACTCCTCCATCTGCTTTGCCAGCTTAATTTTCTCTGGCCTTGAAGTAAAGCTTTTAACAGGGACATGGGAAGAAGGAGCAAATTTGTGGGAAGAAACTATTAGTTCTATTTAAAACATATTGAATTTGAGGTAAGTATTGAGGGAAATTCAGGTGAAGGTCAAGTAAAATGGGAACACAGATACAGTAATCAATATTAGATTAACAGTGGTGACATCAGCAGGAACAAGGACCTCTACAAAGCCAGCCCCCGAAACACACACATAAAAGCTGTGAGATTGTGAGATTGCTGGCAAAAATATGTCAAGATCAACATTTTTAGAACTTTGAAAATTAACCAAAGGATTGCAACAATTTGAGGAGTATTTGTTAAAGAAAAATGACTAAATTTTATGAAGAACAGTGAGGCATTTTTCATTGTAATTTTCACTCTTCCCATTCCAACAGCTCCACAGACACTAGAGGGGACAGAATATGTTAAGAATCCCTTCAAAACTTCATTCTCAGAAAATTGTCATTAGTTTATCTGTCTAGCACTTATATACATATATAGAAATTCCAGTTCTCAGGTTTTGTCTTTTTTTGACCTGACTCAGACCTCACTAAGTGCAGACAGTCCTGCCTGTGGAGGCATTTGTGAAAATAATCTTTAGCAATTGTTAAACAATGCAGCTACTTGAGGTAGTGATAACAACTGGAGCAAATAAAAACTAGCCAAAAAAAAAAAAAAAAGAAAAGAAAAGCTAGAGAATGAAATGTCCCTAGGGAATTTTAAAAAGCTCCAACATATTCCTAAGAGTCTAAAAAGCCATATACATGCATAGGATGGGGTATAATCCCAAGGTTGAACTCATGCCTGGGAAAGACCTGAGAAGTCTCCAAACACTCACCTTTAGCTGACATTGAGGCTCTGCAGTGGCAGGAAGTGAAAACTGTCATAACATTATAAACCACATGACTGAGTGCTGAAGGCACAACCAAAACACATACAGAATTTCTTGGCTAAGACTAGGACAATTATTGACTTGAGGCATTTAAGGGAATTTCAACCGAATTATTAGCTGAAATTAAGCTAACAGAAAAGAAACTTCTATAGCCAAACATGCCAAAGAGTACAGACTTTACAGAATTAATTAATAAAAGTCACTAAGCAAGTAATAATAGAAAGTAGCAACAAGAAGAAGAGGGTAGAACCATATTTCCATAGTTTTCACTATCTATTATTTCCAGTTTTAAACAAAAAATTATGAAACATGAGAAGAAAATATGACCCATGGACAGGAAAATATGCAGTCAATAGAAACTGTCCTTGAGCAAGCACAGACATTGGATTTACTACACAAAATTTTCAATCAGCTATTTTCAACATATTCAAAGATGATTCCCAGAGGAATCGGGTGGAGAGGGAGGTGGGAGGGGGGATTGGGATGGGGAATACATGTAAATCCATGGCTGATTCATGTCAATGTATGACAAAAACCACTACAATATTGTAAAGTAATTAGCCTCCAACTAATAAAAATAAATGGGGAAAAAAATTCAATAAGAAAACTCAACAAAACAACAGGCATAAATACTGGAAAAAGAAAAAAATTCAGATGAAATTATTGTCTACATAAAATAATCCCAAGAAATCTACAAATCAATTAATTTAGAACACTCATGTGAATTTTGCAAGGTCACAGGACAGTAGGCCAATATATTGGGTTGACCAAAATGTTTGCTGTTTTCTTTCTGCATGATGGCTCTAGTAGTGTTTAGTTGTCTTTAACTTTACTGAAACAATTTTCTTAGACTGTATTGTTAAAACAGCTGTCATATCATCATGCATTTAAAAGCAATTATCAAAATTGGTGAATTTTTGTGTAGCCATTTTAACATTGAAGATGGAAGAAAAAGAGTACAAATTTCAACCTTTTAAGGTTTATTATTTTGAAAAAGGTAAAAATGAAATTGAAACAAAAATAAAAGATTTGTGAAGCATATGGAGAAAGTGCTATGACTGACCACGTGTGTAAAAGTGGTTTGTAAAGTTTCATGCTGGAGATTTCTCACTGGACAATGCTTCATGGTTGGCTAGACCAGCTGAAGTTGATAGCAATCAAATCAATATATTAATTGAGACTATTCAGTGTTATACCAATGCAGGAGATAGTTGACATACTCAAAATATCCAAATCAAGCTTTGAAAATCATTTCTACCAGCTTGGTTATGTTAGTTGCTTTAACATTTGTGTTACACATAAATGGAAAACACTTCTTGATCATCTTTCTGTATGTGATTCTGTACTTAAATGTAATAAAAACTTCCCATTTAAAAAAAAGCAAAAAACAAAGAACCAAAGAAAACTATGCCTAAAGAATGAAAGGAAAGTATGATAATGATGTCTACCAATTGGGGAAATTTAATAAAGAGATAGAAATTATTTTAAAAGCAGAAATTATGGAGTTGAAAAGAACAATACTGAAATGAAAAATTCACTAGAAGAGTTCAACATCAGATTTGAGCTGGCATAAGGCAAAAACAGCTCACTTGAATAGAGGCCAATAGAGTTTCTCAAGTTTAAAGAATGGAAAAAAGTAATTAAGAAAAATGAACAGAACCTCAGAGAGCTGTGGAATATCATCTTGCATACCAACATACACATAATGGGAATCTCAAAAGTAAAAGAGAGATAAAAAGGGAATGAAAGAATCTCTGAAGAAATAACAGCTGAAAACTCCACAAATTTAATTAAAAAAAAACATTAAATATCCAAGATGCTCAATGAAATCCAAGTAAGATAAATTCAAAGAGGTCCACACTTAAACACACCATAATCATACTTTTAACAGCAAAGAGAGAATCTTGAAAGCAGCCTGAGAAAAGGAAATCATCACATACACAGATCTTCAATAAGATTAACAGCTGATTTCTAACAGAAAATATGGAGGCTTGAAGACTGTGAAAAGACAAAACTCAGGAGTTGCTGAAAGAAAATGACTGTCAACCAAACATTCCATATTTGGCAAAACTATCCTGATAAAAAGGAAGAAAAATTAAGATAAGCAAAATTTGAGAGAACTAGTTGCTAGCAGTGCTTCCCCACAATAAATGCTAAAGGAAATACTTCAATCTGAAATGAAATGACACTAGATAGTAGTTCAAATCTTCATGAAGAAATGAAAAGCACTGGAACATTTTTTTCTCTGATGTGCAGAATCCAACAAAGAGAATCAAGGAAAATGAAGAATCAGAAGGATATGTTTCAAACAACAACAATAAAAATAAATCTCCAGAATCTAATCTTAGTGAAATGAAGATAAGTGATTTACTTAATAGAG